CTTCTTGATACCTACCAGCTGTTACCAATAACATAGGTTACAATTTCCAAACGTGCCATAGGAAGTTAGAACTGATTGAACTACTCATCTGATGTCATTTATGTATGGATATTCACAGTGGTGGCACACTTCAGAAATCTAGTGGCACAATGGTTGAGAACCACTGCTCTATACACTGATGGATTTAAATCAGATGACTATGTTGGCTTAGCCTTTGTCTGCCAGGATAAAATCATGGCAGAACAAATCTCACCAAATTCTTCCAGCTGTATTGCAGAGCTGCAGGCTATTTACATAGCCTTAAAGTATGTAATCAAGAAAAGCCATCGTTGCTCTGTGATTTACACTGACACAGTTAGTGCACTTCAGACTTTGATCTCGTGTGAACCTAGTTCTCACTCTATAGTGATTAAAATTCGGAAACTAATTTGTCATCTTACTATTAGTAATTCTTCTGTAAAATTTTGTTGGGTCCCAGGCCACATGGGTATAAGAGGAAATGAAGAAGCTGACACAGTTGCTAAGTGAGCAAGTCCTTCACAGCATAGAATGCGTATTTAAGGAGGAGATTTGAAGCTAGTCTTTAAAAAATGACTAGCAGAGAGATGGTAAATTATGTGGAATGCCCAAATCCACAATAAACTATACGAGATTAAACCTTTGGTAGAAAATTGGACACATAATAAGCAGTATGATAGGAGATCTGAAGTCATTCTTACTCATTTGAGAATTGGGCATACTCAGTTGACTCACCAATACCTTTTGAAGGGTGAAGACCAGCCAGTATGTGAGTATTGCAACTGCTTTTGAAGTGTAAAACACATACTGTGCAATTGCTCTGCCTTTGAGACAAGGCGTAGACAGTATTTCGGAAATGCAAGTCTGACAGGGATTCTCAGTTAGAGGCCAAATATCAATAAGTTACTGGACTTTTTGAAAGTCACTAATATTTATAAAGAAATTTGATTATTTATTTATTTATTTTTACTTTTATATACTTTGTTGTTTTGTTTATTTGTACTGTTTGATATACTTGTTGTTGTTATTTGTTATTAATATTTTAAATTATATATATATATATCTATGTCATATATATATATATGTTTTTTTTTGAAATTTTAACATTTGGCATGGCGCAGCATAGCCTGTATGGTTTTTGTGCCAAAAAACGGTAACTAACCAACCAACCAGCATGCCTGACATTGTATTTCCTATGTAAAAAAGGCTTGTCTACTTCCACAACTTTGTTATCACTACGGATTTTGACATTTGGCTGAGAAATTAAAGAGTTTACACATACCTCACATATGTAACTAGTTCATCCTAGAGTTGTTTCAGGATTAATTCCTAACTGCAATTGGCAGAAATTTCCAGAGGTTAATTTCAAACACCAAAAATATATAAAACAAACTGCAGTCAAAAAAGAAGCACATGAACCATCGAACTAATTTTGACTTCTCAAACATTTTTTTTTTTTTTTCATGGCAAGGCCAGATATTACATCTCCATTTAGGTGCTTCAGAGGAACAAAAATATAGCCTTATTTTATGATTTTTTGAACACAATCAGTTACTATGTAAAATTCCCTTATCTTGGAAAAATCAAATTGCACTCTCTTCATCTTTTGGCAATTGTCAAATTGTAAAATTCATATTAACTCAAAATAGAAAAAGATTTTGGAATAAAAATTCGAACAAGAGTTTGAATATAAGCTCGAAAAATTAAAAACCTTGTTGGGCCCACGGATTCAGTTGCCCTTCCAGGACTCAATGGTTAACCGTGTTGTGATTTCTTTTACTTCTTTCCATTGCTGTTTGTCCTTTGCATCTATTTTGGCCATCTCTTCTATAAACTATGCAGGGGTACCCGCTTTCTCTTGTGGTTCTCCCTTGTTGCAAGAGATGTTGAGGGACAGGATGAGTCCAGGATGTACGAATCCAATGTGTTAGATGAACTAGATGGGCAGTGGCTGCTAACTATGGCTGTATTTGGAGCTAGATGGACAGAAAACAGTAGTCACTGAGATACATGGAGGAGAATGCACTGCAGGAGATGCAATTGAAACACTTAGGTAATGAGGTGGAGGATTATTGTTTTATTTTCCACCATATGCTTTGTAAAACTTGTTAAAATGTTTTCACCTTATTTTTTTGTCTCCTGATGTTTTCAATGTATCTAAGTTGTGGCTAAATGTGCACATTAATTACATTTCCTCCTCTGAAAACTTGTACCTGCTGTTTTGTAGGACCTGCAAAATTTGACCCCCTCCCAGTTTTGTTTTATTAACTGCCTTTTGAAAATCATTCTCTTTTTCTATTCTGGTGTTGATTAGGATCTGGATAGCACCATCAGACCATTTAACTGAAAAAAGAAAGTACTTCAATATATATTAAACTAGCTTTTGCCCGCGGCTTCGCTCGCGTTAAAAAGTATTATTATTAATTAGGTATACTTTTTGCTTCTTTACTTTTGTTTAGCGTGTGTAAAAAATTAGGGCCTACAAAACTTCTTTGTACACAATATTCTTAACTAATCTGTCATTAGGCGCTAAAAGTATCAAGCTATTGGGTGAACTTACTCGTGAGCAAGCAACATAAAACTGTCCATGAGAGAAGCAATGTTCTCTCAAGTCAATACCCGCAAATTTGAGAGTTTGCCCCTGAGACTTGTTTATTGTCATGGCAAAGCAGACTTTTAGGGGAAACTGTAATCGTTTAAATTCGAATGGGATATCATTAGGTATTAATGGGATTCGTGGTATAAATACAGTTTCCCCTTTCGCACACCCAGTTAATATAGTGGCTTCCACTATATTGCGATGTAACGCTTTCACTTGCAGTCTCGTACCGTTACAAAGTTTTGGTGGTTTTAAATTTCGCAACAACATAATTGGAGTGCCCACACGCAGAATAAGCTTATGATAAGGCAAACCTGGCGGTTTCNTATAAACACAATATTTTCTATATAAAAATTTCTAATACAAATTTTTCATTTACCGAATTACTGGTAAATTTTTGAAATTTACCGATAAGTTTACCAAATGTTTTTTTGTCAATTTATTGGTAAACCGTTATACAATCCCTACTCAGGATTTATAGGGCCCTTGTCCGCTCTAAGCTGGATTACGGATGCATTGTGTATGGCTCTGCGCAAGAATCTACTTTTTGGATGCTGGATCTAGTCCGCTATCAAGCATTACATTTGTGCACTGGCACTTTTCGAACTTTTGTTCAAAGTTTGTATGTGGATGCTTATGAGCCTCCACTATCTCTTATACCCCGTTCGCACACAATCCACGACTCACTTCGATCTCGATTTACCCACAATCTGGATTGTGACTGTCGCCAGTGGAACGTCGTGCTGTTCGCACAGGTAACTCGCTTGAGAAGAACCCGGCTATTACACGCGATGATAAAATTGACATAACTACGCGGTAAGTCACGAACACCAACAAACAAAATGGAAGTTTTGGTTAGAAATAAATACTTTTTCTTGCCGTATATCTAATAATAAACAGATGTCATCGTCTCTCCAGATGTCTTTTTTATTTTTCTGTCGATAACCGGACACGTGTTCAGCAGCCATCTTGTATTTTCTCGCGCGCGTGGGATTGTGGGATCTCTCTTATGACTGGATCTAGTTTC